GGGTGTGGGTCTCCCTCTACGAAAGTACCTCTTCGGGGGTCTTTCACCTAGACTGAATATTTTAAAAGATTGTTTACTTCTTTTATTTTATGTGCATTGATATTTTTGCCTGCATGTCTGTGTGAGGTTATCAGATCCTCTGGCACTGCTGGGAATTGAAACTTGGTCCTCTGGAAGGGCAGTCAGTGCTTTTAACTGCTGAGCCATCTCTCCAGCCCTAGACTGAATTCTTAAAAGTATAGAGCCCATATCTTATTTTCCTGCATGGTACTGTCCTAATCTAGGCCATCTGTTGCAGAATATCACTAACTATGTAAAGGTGTGTTACATTTGTTTGTGCTGCATTTGTTTAATTATGTAAAGATGTGTTGCTGTTTCACCTTGCCTGCCTAAGGCACCTGATTGGTCTAATAAAAAGCTGAATGGCCGAGAGCTAGTCAGTAGTGGGACAGGTGGCACCTCCACCTGTGAACATTCCCAGGCAGGGCCAGCCAGACATGGAGGAAGCAGGAAAAGTAAGACATACAGAAGGAAAAGCAAGAAGCCCTGAGGCAAAATGTAGATGAAACAGGTGAAAATGTTAAAACAGCTAGTGGGACAAGCATAAGATAAGGCCGAGCATTCATAATTGATAATGTCTCTGTGTCATGATTTGGGAGCTGGTTGGTGCCTAAAAGAAAGCCTGCTACAGTCATCACCTTGTCCCTGGGTAATGTGAGCTCTTCCTACCCTGTACTCTGAGTGCTCGCTTCTGTTGAAAAGCTCTGTAGAGACTCTTTCACCTCTCCTGGCCTCACTACTTCTAACACTCACCAGGATGCTGTAACCACAACCACATGGACTGCCTTCACTTCTTTCAAGTCTCCGATTCAAGTTGCCTTATGAACGGGGCTCACCCAGGCAGTTCTTTCAAAAGACTATCCTCCTTCTAGTGTTCCACACAGCTCTGACCTGACCTGGTTTTTCCTCTATCATCCAACATTTTCTAATATATTACATAGTTTTTTATTTTATCACCTTTCTCTCTGTCCAAGACAGGATTTCTCTGTGTAGCCCTGACTGTCCTGGAACTCATAGAGATTCGCCTGCCTCTGCCTGGGATTAAAGGCGTGTGCTACCACTGCCCGGTAGTTCCCCCCCCCCTCTTTTGTTCACTGATTCATCTTAAGCACTTCTGTACTGCCTGGTACAGTGACTGGAAAGTCTTTATTGGGCAAATGAGTGGATAAACTTTCAGACTATCACTGGAGTATCATGGAGAAAAATGGATACTTTGAATTCCCATTGCCAGGAGGTGTTTGGCAGATGGGAGTGCTCAGTGTTCCATGATGGAATGGAAGGTGGGCTTCATGCTGTCTTAGCTCAGCAAAGCTGTCAGGGCCAATTCTCTCATTCAACCAAACTCACTGACATCCATCTAACAATCGAATGGACGAGTGCTGAGCACCTGCTGTGAGTTCACAATTGTCCTTGTAGGGAGAGTAGGACTTGATTTAACGCAACATCTGCAACAACAAGTAATATCTCCCAGGGCAATTAAGTCTAAAATGACAGGGCAGATTGTCAACGCTAAGAGTTCAGAGGTAGGATCACTGGAGACTGAAGGAAGTCCAAAGTCTACCACAAGTCTGAACGGCCCTTCTAAAAGCTCCACCTGTTGATAGCAAAGCCACGACCTGGCTAGAGAACTTGAGATGCAGAGGATGACGCGGCCGGGGCAATGACAAAATGACATGCCTTGGTAGGGAGGGGCCTCGAACCCGGCTCTTGATGTCCCGAAGGACGCGTGTCCCCAAGCAAGGTCCAAAGTGCCCCGGTGGCGGCCGGGAAAATGCGAGCTGCGTGCTAGTCGGGACACTAGCGCAGTGGCAGAGGTTGTAAGGCAGGGAGGTCACGAGGTGCATTCCTCAGGCGTTGGAATCCCGGCAGAGGGCCCGAGGCCGCCGAGGCCGTCCTTAGGTCGGAGGCACAAGCACGGCAAGGCGTTCCGCATCTGGCCACTGCTGGTGCCAGCCGGCCCCGAGCAGGGAGAGCGGCGGGAGCCCGTGAGCACTACTTGTCCCGGCGGAGGAATCCCTCGCACATCGCGGCAG